TAATTTGGGAACTAGATTTTCTTCAATTGATTCACCAGTCATGATAAGAATCTCTTTCCAAAATTTTTGGATCTCATTGCACTCCCATACATAGGGTACCCACTTCTTCATTGCATTTTGTACAGCTATCAGGAATATTTGGGTTAAATCTATGCAGTTTAGCTGGTGTAATGTAAAATGTAAGTTCATAGGTAATGTAAGTGCATCATTTATATTGCAGTAATTTACACGGTGTTTATACTATTATTTTGGCCAAATAAACAAGAATCTATCCATTCTTCTTTAGATATGTTTTCTAATATGATGTATTAGAAGACAAAAAAATTGATAGATTCATGTGATCTTCTATGACAGACAATGATATTTTTGAATGCGTTTTAATTTCTAAATGTATAAAACTTCTTACCTGTAAATATTTTTTAAAAATGTTTCTGGGTGATATCAAATTTTTTTTCAATTGTTGGAACGACAGCATTATATCGTCCTCGCATAAATCTTTTTTTGGTGTATACCTTAAAGCAGGGGTCAGGAAACTTTTTTCAGCAAAGAGACCTTTATTTTAATTTTTTTTAGCAAATAAAAAAAAAAATTAGGGGTTACCGGCCACTTTATTAGGTACACCTGTCCAACTCTTTCTTAACGCAAATTTGTAATCAGCCTATCAATGAATTGAGGCATGTAGACATAGTCAAGATGGTTACTACTATAAATAATACAGGTTCAAAGAAACTTTTTATGTCCATGCACAACTCAAAAATAAATAAATATGAAGCATCCCATGTTGAGCAAGTCCATGGATGGAAAAAAAGGGCAATTTATAGAATGTTTTTCTTTTCACCCTCATCACTCATGGATGTTGGTTGAATTTACATACACAAGAAGATTATAAAAAAAACGCAAGTTGTTTGCGCTTTATTGGTGTCGCAATTCAAGTTTAATCACAGTGATGCACAGGCAGATTGGTTAAAATGTCCTTTTATCGTTAACTGAGTTCTTATTCATTTTGCTCTAAAAAAATCATAATTAAAAATAGATTTACTATTGTATTTTCAATTGCAAAACTGATTTCTAGTGACGGTTATAATTTTTTAAACTGTTATAATACATTTTTGAAGGGAGACAGGAGAGCCACATATATTTGGTCAAAGCACCAGATGTGGGTCGCGGGCCATAGGTTCCCTACCACTGCCTTAAAGCATCAATTTTTGGAATCCAATGTCACTCCTCCCTGGTACAAAACTTTTATTACCCCAAATTGGTGTTAAGTTTGACAAAGTAATTATTTCATCTAACAATTCATGAGCTTCATACCAAACTGAAATGTTTCTGAGAAAACTTGCCTAATTAGGCCTTTAAATGTCACTTAAAGCTGAACACTAGTGTCTTGTAAAGTAGCTAGTATAATATTATGTACTGTCATCATGGCAAAGATAAAATAAATCAGTTATTAGAAATTAGTTATTAAAACTGTTGTTTAGAAATGTATTGAAAGAATCTTCTCTCCGTTAAACAGAAATTAGTGCAAAATACACAGGAGGCTAATAATTCAGACATCAACTTCAGGAGTAAATGTGAAATTAGCCAGAACACACATGACTCTTAAACACTATATTTCATTTTCTTGATTTTGCCTCACTTTAAAAACGTTTTTCTAATCATGATCTGATCTGCAGACTCATCATTTCTGGAAGAATGAGTGATAATATTACGTCAAAAATTTGATCAACTGAAGTGGAAAAAGCGGTAAATCTCTAGTCATCTCAGATCAGTTTAAAAATGAACATGTCACCATTTAAAAAAATTAAGACAGGTGAAATTATGGACACACTGTGTGTCATTCCTCAAAGGGAAAAGTTATTTAAAGGGCCAGTTCACACAAAAATAAAAAATAAAAACCATGAACCTTTTACCAACATTACTGAAAACATACCCCTACTGTATATACATTTCTGGAGATCGCAAATTATGTAGCCAGAGAAACATGTTTCTGCATTTCATCTGTAAAACGAACAATACGTTGCGGTATGACTATGTTCCTTTTCTCGCTTACCACTTACCTCCATATGGAAGGCCTTTCTGCTGTTACCAGTTTGTCCGGTAGCTGGACGCATACATTGGCGGACTTGAGACACAACGATAGGGTTTGAGTCTGGTGAAGAACAGTTCAAGAAAGCAGGTAAAACAAAAACAAAATCCAAAAAATGTAACAAACAAGTAAATAACTGTGTAAATGTGGTAAAATTTGTCATTTTTACTGTTGATCACCAGTTGACTTGGCACCATTATACTACTATAGATAGACCTGTGCAAAAAAAAAAAAAAAGAGTTTCTGGATGGTATATGGAGTATAACAGCAAATTAAAGTGTGTGTGTGTGTGTGTGTGTGTGTGTGTGTGTGTGTGTGTGTGTGTGTGTGTGTGTGTGTGTGTGTGTGTGTGTGTGTGTGATCTTCGTGCACTTACCTTGATGAGTCTGAGAAAGTCAAATATGCATCTCAGCT